CAAAAAGATATGACGTTATTTGAATTTACAAATGTATACATATACATGTTTCAGAAAAAATTGACCTATTTTTCTTTGTATGAACGCTGGGGCAAATAAGATCATAGTCTATTGAAATATGACATAGATAGAGAGTATACCAGTGAGACTGATTTAAAACGACATATCTATAACTTTTGTTCACTTGAAAAATTTTGAAATAGCATATTCATGACTCATAATGAAAAATTACACATAAAGATACATGTCTATTTGAGCATGCAGATTACACTTGTGTTTATAAACACACCAGTCAACTATATACCTTAGTCATTTCAGTCCAGTAAGATGAATGCTGAATTAGAACCTGTACTTTCATTTCTTTCCCATCTTGCAAATTTGATGTTGATCCTATACTCAGATTTTTTAGTTAATATGATGAAAATAACATTGTTAAAATTCTGATATGTTCAAATATTCTTTATTTTTGTATCAGTGTTAAAACTTGCAATTTAAAGCTTTGCAGCACCTCTTTTACATGTGTATGATGTAATATATCCATCCTTCTGTCCATTTGTCTATCTATTGTTCTGTCAATCTCTGTGTCTTGGTTTTTCCTAGTTTTATTCCCCAGTCATTCTATGGAATAGCATGATTATAGTGTTGCCTGTCCGTCCTGTCCCATCCCTCTGGCCATTCACTTATCAATGTCATCTCCCAACCTCTCAAAAGATTTAGTTCATAGTTCTACATCTGATCCCATAAATGGTTTGTATAGAAGTGAGGCTATAATGTTTTATAGACTCTAAAATTAAATCATATTTTAAATGGTATTGACATTTTAAGAACCATATTTCACATTATCGTAACAAGAGGGAAAGAAATAAGATTTCATATTGTTTATGCATTGTATTACATTTATTGCCCTAATAAATTTCATACATGCAGAAACTATCTTCTCAGTCTAATAGTACGTACCAATCTATACTACCAGTCTCTGTTACTGAGCAAGTTATACAAGTGATAAAAGATTTTATTGTGTAGGTGTGTGTATACCTTTGCATTTTACCTGCATGTTCACCTGTCACTAAAAGCATATATATCAAGAAGAGATTTTATTTTCACCTGGGTTTGCACCTATCTTGTGGGTTGTATATATAACACCTGATTTCAGGGTGTGGATTATGACGTAAAAGAAAAGTAAACGGCAGGATTATGTCCACTGAGGAACTCCCCTAAAACATGGTCATCAATCAAAACTACTTTCTGGGGAAGGAATTTGTAAAACAAACAAACTGGTGCACTTTTTTTAGCAACAAAAAAACTGTGTGGGATATACTAGGATGTACTTGAGGTGGTTAAAAACAGTTATTTAGGATATTTGAAGGGTTTCATCATGTTTTTCTACTTTTCTTTTTCATTTGTGATGAAATATAAAACTTGCTGACTGATATCTTATAACGAGTTGAAAATGTGATTGAATTTTATACGGTTAATGAGTGTTTATTCATGGAGTAATTTTGTAAAGGAATTCAAAATTACCCATCTCCTAAATGGTTTACACATAACAATTCAGAGATAAATAACCATCTTGTTTGCAAAGCAGATGTTAACGGAAGTCAAAATTAAGTTGAATTTGTAATGATAATATAATTATTTTCTGAATAGCAGTATTTAATTTGATATTATTATGTGCATGTCAATTGAAATGAGATTATGGAGTCTTTAAGTGTAAGATTATTGGAAAACAAAAAAAATCTACAAAATCCTCAATTTTTTTTTATTATTTTTGTTCAGTCAGTGGCCATTCCACAAATTTAAATGTCCACAAAATGTTAAGCAAATGAAAATTGTCACAGATTTCAATATTTGATGATTTTTTGAGCAAAATTTATCTATGACGTCAAGTGTCAACTAAATTATATATTTTTGGAAAACCATGAAATTTGAGTTCAGCTGAAAAATATAATTTTGCAGTATAATTGTATGATTACTTACAGAAAGCTCTATAACAGAACCATCAGATTTATCTGTATGTGTGTTTACAGCTATATTTAGGATCAGGTTATCTACAGGTAATACTGACGTATGACAGTGACGTACCTGTCATTAGTAAGATAACCTACACCACATATCTGTCAGCTGTACACTGGTACATCATGCCACTCCATAAGGTCACATCAAGGTCCTGGATAGAGTTAGAATTACGTCATGACGACGTGTTTGACATCAATTTGGTCCATTAGAAAACTAATTTATTAAATGAAAACAGAATAATTTTCTTACTATTTTATTTTGGTTGTCCCTCTGTAACACATTAATGTGAATTTAATTTCAGTCTTGTGTATGTTTTTCATCATTAATCATCTTTTCAATTAACATTTACTGTGAAATGTCCCTTTAAGCTTGGTTATTGGGGAAGCATTTGTTGTATGCCCAATTAATTGCAGTTTAATTTTGTTTAAGAGAATAACCTTCTCTTCAAATTTTTTAATGGTCTGTATATCATATTCCTTGCGTTTAATTTGCCCCTTCTAAATATTCTCATTTTGAGGTAATTTAGCAATGATTAGCTATTCAGTGTAAGCTGTAAGTAAAGGTTATCTCCCCTTTATATATCTTATGAGGCTTAATTAAAATCTGTATGATTTCCTGCCCCACCTGAGCAGGTACAGCATGTTATAGAGTTATCAGCCCTTCAATAAAGAATTATTGTTTATAATAGTACAATAGAAATATTATCATTAGTATCAGTGTGATAACCTAGACATCTATGTTGTGTATCAATCATCTCTTATCTGACTCGGTCATTGTAGATTATCACTACACCTCTACATAGTCTGTCTGTAGCCTATAGTAGAATACTTGATGTAATGCTTTATTTGATGTAACTGTTGTTAGGAGGCATAGTGGATAAGATAATTATCATTCACCTAGACAACCTGGCTTCAATTTCCCAGATCGGCTGCTGGAAGATATTGTCCAACCCTGTACTTCCTTTTGAGCCAATGCTGACTTAAAAACTAACAAAACTTAACATGATTGGTGATAGCTGGGTTAGGTAGGGGCACCAGAGGACCATATATGGTATCTACAGTATATCCTTGGCAGGTGAACAAGTGTGGAGAATTACTTATAGTAACATTATGACTCATTCTTTCTTATTTACTTACGTCTCTTCAATAAAATTAAACTTTAATTTGCTGTGTCTAGTCCTTTGTGAAACCAATTAATCTATAATATGCTGAGGTCCCACAGACTCCATCACACAGGACTTGTTCTGATATCAACAAATCTTGTGTTCCACCCTGGTGATACATAAAAACAACTACAATTTGTGATATATTCGTCTTAATTTATGGGATGATATAACCCTCAAGAAGGGAACTTTAATAAAAACACACACCACCCAACTGTATGGAGGATATAAAAGCTTTCTCTAAGCTAGTCAAGGTATTTTGTCCATGGATTGCAGATTGAGTGATTGAGAGAAGACTTCCTATAAGTTTAAAATGTCTCATGTGGCAAAAATCAGACTGTGGTTGGGTAGGTAGACATTACAAAGTACAAGACTGTCCTAGGTGGTTTCTTTTAGGTCTCTCACTTCCTACTTATCAGAGGGACTGTCATGGATTTAGTAATTGCTAAACATGGATTTGAAAAGTGCTAATGGTATTTATGAGAAAAGTGATTTATTTTTTATTGGGACTGTCATGGATTTAGTAATTGCTAAACATGGATTTGAAAAGTGCTAATGGTATTTATGAGAAAAGTGATTTATTTTTTATTTTATCATATTGATATATTTTAAATTTTACAATGTTTTTACCACTATATTTTTCCATTGTTATGTATGCTGTTTTACCTAGCCGGGTCCTATCTGTTATCAGATTTAGACATTCTTCACATAGTTTCCTCTGGTAAGATTGTTTGTGTAGGATTGATTAAACTATTATCTACTTTCACCTTTATGACTAAGAGTTGACTGGTGACTGGATTAATTTGAATTCTATTTTATAATAACTGACAGTAAAATTAATATATTTAGTTCTTGTGACACTTATCGGATCAGTTTTAACATCCTGATCACCTGGTTTGTCCTCTATACAGTATACCATTGTCTACTGATGGGTAAGGGGTGTCAGGGTCTGTTCATTTCATTTAAATTGAACAGTAATTGTTTAATTGTGTCAGATTTTAAAAACAGATTTATTGATATCAGAATATAGTTTTTACCTTCACTACTGTTAGAATTGTGACAGATTGTACACCTTCAATGGAATGTATTGAATCTTGTCATATACTTAAGATTTTTTGAAGTATTATTGAAATGTTGTCACATCTTGTCACCCCTACTTAGCTTTGTTCTATAACTGTGATCGAAGGATGGAGCATTCCAATGTGACATTATAGGGGTCAGGTATGATCAGAATCTTATTGACTGTCTCACTTGAAATCATCTATCATTATATATGGAAAAACACTGACATAATGGGACTCAAACAACTCTATTCTGTCTGCTACAAAATGTATTTGGAGTTTACCTGCCAAGAATGCAAACTTCATGCATAATATATAAAATAAAAACATCTGTATATGAATCACATATCTTTTAAGCAGTATGCACTTGCCAGTGTTCACCATTTCAGATTTATTTACTTTCAGCTGTGTTTGACATGGTACATAGCGAAAACAATGACAGTTTCACCCTAATCAGAGTCATATCTATGTACTACACATTATACACCTTAGATGATATATCAGCATTGCTGATTAACATCTCAACAGGTAGTATTGTATCCTACCTGTAAGATCTAAGGTAATATGTTATACCTGTAAAATCTCAGGTGAGAGGTTACATCACAAAGTATACTCAAGTTAGGGATGTGAACTTTGTATAAAGATCATCATCAGAGTAGAACCATTATGTCACTGACGTTTAAAATTACGTGTAGCTGTCATGATCTTGTCTAATGCGTCATTTCCATTTTTACATTGAAACCTGTTTTGTGTATTTACAGATAACAGCAAACCAAGTCCATCGCTAGGAGTTGCCGACAAACCGCAATGGAACGCTGGCAGTGAGGAAGATAGTACGACAGAGACTGATTATAAAGTTGCTCTTAAAAGCAGCGTCAAGTGGGAGGACGTACCTGAGAAGGTTAATCTTTATAGTGCAAACGTAGTCGATGACGGAAAAACCACAGAAATTGTAGACAGAGAATCCATTGCAGATCTCGGGTCGACAAGGAAACAGTGGGAGACATTGTTTCTGTCATCAACACCTTCATCAGCTCCAAAACCAACGCCTAAAAAAGCTGCTGTCAAACACTGGGAGGTTAAGCTTCCTTATAAACCAGTGGGTGTGGTGAATTCTGCAGAGACAACTGCAGAAGAACCACCTAGTGAAAGGAAAATGGAAGACGAATATGCTAACGAAAGTGCCATTGCTCGTGAGATTCGTCTGGCAAACGAGCGTGAGGAAATGCTTAAACGTGAGCAGGAGGATCGAATGGAGCTTTTGAAACGCCAGGAGGAATCAAAACAGACGAAAACAATAGCAACTTTTGAGGCACAGAACAATAACAACAACAATAATGAATTAAAGACAATGTACCATGAAATGACAGAAGCTGATCGTGGGTCGGAGCTGCAACGAAGGGAAACCATCATCAAACAGGAGATTGAGGAACAACAGGAGCGCGAGCAGGCCGTCAGTCAGAATGCCGTCAGCGACAGTGAGGTAATATTATATGATGAAAGAAGAATGCGGGTAACCATAGTTACATAACATGTAGATTTCTCCATTGTGTTATTAGATTTTCATTGAAAATACAGGATCTTGATATTACACAATGTCAGCCTATTATTTATCACTGTTGACATCAGTATGAATATAACATAGCCTGGATATTTAAGTAAGCCGAGAACAAAGTTAAAATGTATCTTATTCCATACTACTTAAACCACTAATCTAGGTTATTTCGATCCTGAAACCAAAGTGGTAGACGATTTTAATCAAATTGATAGTAATAACATTCAATTTGATCTAACAAATCCTCGAACCTTCAACATTTATTATATTTCTAGTTAGTCAAATACTAAACGTAAGTTTTTAACCAAAATGTAATTTGTCAAATGTCTTTATATTAGTGTTATATTTGTACTTTGTCTGGCTTCAGTGAACTGTTTGACATTTAAGCATACAGAAACACATTATATGATAAAGTTTATGCCTTGGGTTTAGACATCCACAATAAAACAATATAAAATGGTGATCAAATCCACAGTATGAAATATATGGTATGTCACAAAGTATAAAGCTATATCAGGGAACAGCTGACAACTTTGTAAGACCTTAGTCTGGAGACAGACCATAAGCTGGTCAGACTTGTTTCAGCAGAAACAGCTTTCTTACTTGAGGTATATACAAGGGAAGATGTTAGGGATGTTGTACCTGCCAGAAGTTCAGAAGCATATTCCTGTGTACTTTGTGAAGGTAATTGTCATCCTCATCAAATATTTACCTGGTAAAGCGTAGGTAAGGTAAGATGTTTGCCAATGATTCCTGGGCTGAATTCATAAATATGAGGAAGCTATACTAGATATCTGAATGATAGGGAAGTTATTGATAATGCTATAAAGATAAACTTTTTTTAAAAAACAAAGAACAAGTCTTTACCAGGATTTCATTTTTAACACCAATTTCAGCATGGTGAAAGAAAAATGGTCAGTTGACCCTGAATTTGAGTAGCCATTTTTATTGCTATCATGCATCGTCCGTAATCGTGCACCATTTCTGTCCTTTCTTTTAAAACACTACTCATGCTTTACACCTGGGTGGATTTCAGTCAGATTTGTTCTGAGCATTATTGCAGATGGGTTATCTTTTCTTTAATTCAATTTAATTTGACCCCAAGAGACATAGGGTCAGGGCTGGAAATGGGAAAGTTAGTCAATGATTTTGCTTCAAAATGCTATTCTTCCTTAATGCATGTATGGATTTATACCAAATGTGGTTTCAAATATCATTATGGGAATTGATCAGTTTTGTCAGACCACCATCTGTAAATTCTGTGGTTTGTTCATCCATTCATTGATTGTCAGATGACTGTTACATGGCCTTCTTGTCTATTAGTATAGACTGAAGGTATACTTGTTTTAGTGTATCCTTATTTCTGTATATATTGCCGTAACTATCCTGGAAATACCTCCCCCCCCCTCCTCCAAATAAAAGAGGATCAACATATTACCATTGACTGGTAGGGAGGAGGGTGGCATTTATTACAAAACCCCATGAGACCAAGACATTACTTTTTACTGAAAATATGTGAAAGAGAAAAATGTAAAGGTGGAAGAGGAGGGGATGGGGGACAAACTGATTATTACTCAAAATCTGGGAAGTTGGCCCATCACAAAACCTCTGGGGGCCAAAACATAATTCTTAGTGTGAAGTAGTACTTTGATGTATGATTTCATAGGGAAGATGATAAAGTACATAGATTTTATTAGTCTTTAAGCAAATACACGTTCTGTACAACACCACACCTAATTCTTTGACTGCAGACCATGTGACATCATCCCCAGTATTACACCAACTAGTAGATTACACCTGCCCTCTCAATAACCCCGCAATTCCTCGTATGAGCTGATCAAGTCATCTTTTGCCTGATTGACAACTTGGTACACATCAATACTTTGGCACGCCCAGCTAGACAGCCTTTAAGGCTGACTGTTTGACATTATAACACAAAAAATGACAATAATAAATGGTTCCAAGATTACGACACGTCCTCAAACGTAGCCATGTCGAAGGTATGCATGTTAGGGGAAGTTGTTTACTTAAGCCCTGGCTAGATATACCGAGTGTTATTTAAATTTAATCTACTTCAAAAGAGAAGAAGGCGTAAGCGTGGAATCGCACGTCACATAAATAGAAAATTCAATCCTATTGCATTCAAAATATTTTCTCACTGAGGGATAGATGATTGGTAACTCTAACACTAAACTCGCTATCCTTTTGGATTAGGTGTTAAAAGTGTTTAGCCAGTTTATGACAGAGACTTTACACCACAATGAAGATTTCTAGGGATCGGGATATTCACACTGTGGGAACTTATGGAAATATACATCTTCTACAAAGTGGTGTGTGGACCAAAGTAAGAGCAATTTTCACATGTACAACCTGTATATTAAGTATGTCTCAGCATTTTGATAGAAATAATTGTTAGTGTCTACCAACAGATAATCCTCAGATTTTGAAAAAAAAGTTAACCTCAGTATTTTGAAATAGAGATATTTTTTAATGTTGAACTTACTTTAGATTTCAAAATAGTTTTTATCATTAATTAAAGTCATGGATAATTTCAGATAACTTCACTTTAGTACAAATATTAAATTTTCATTTATTTACTTTATCTATTAGTCAGTAGTTAAATGGTTTGGTACTTTTTAACTTAAGAGTTAAAACTTGTAGTGAAGATTTTATTGAACAAAGCCATCAAGTAAAGCCAGCTGTGGGTGTTAACATGAAATAATATACTCAGGTTTTAAAAAAAGATGAATATACAAGACACTACTGATATTTCTGATAGCTTTTTTTTTAAGTTTCATCTGCTTTGATTATTGAACGACATGTTTGTCCCTTGTTCGTCTAGAAATTCGTAAATCTATCTGTCAATATGTTCTTGCAACAGACTGGGTCTTTATCATAGATGTAATCAATAAATATCATTGTGTTCTTTCAAACATTGCAAGCTGTTATCTGAAAAGGTTCCTCTTTCACACTTCCTGAGTACATAGGACTCACCTTAGTGTAGAAATGGAACAGTCCACTTCTGATTCAAGGGATACCATTTTTTTTTTATCCATGTTTATAATTATTAGTTACCAGAGCAATTGATAGCTATACTCTTTATCTGCTACACACAGGTATGGACAAATTGGAAATGATTTTCCATGCTGGACAAACATAGTATTATTTGAAAATTAATTATTTGAGCGGATTGGATGCATAATATGTTGCTTACATAAGTATGATCCACGCTGCATGTCATTTTGGATTTTGTTCGACACAAACATGTGGTATTATATGAAGCACCTCGGAGAACTGGTGAGACATTACTTTGATAACATATAAGTTACTACACCACACTGCTATTTCAGTATTAACTTGGAAACATAGAATATGAATGAAAGTTTATTCACTAAAGTTCTTCTTCATTGTTTGCCTGGAGTGCTATCTGTCATAAGCAGATATTTCGACATCAACTTTTATTTACATCTTTTTCTGCCTTGCACTATCATTAAACATCTTCACCCTAACAGTGTAGATAATGTGGAGGTATCTGAAAGACTGGATCAACATGCTTCCAGTTGTTGAAATGGTAAATTGCGGAATCCCATTTCAGCAATTCTTGTTCTTATATATCTGTTTGCTAAGAGTCAATATTATGATGCAGAGATACCAGGTAATGATATTTTACTCATCAAAATAGTTTTACATATTTATGTTTCATCTCTTACACAGGAGGCGGACTCCAACAATGATCAGATTGATGCTACAGAGAGTGTAATAGCTCGTGAGATTCGACTTCAGCATGAGAGGGAGGAGGAAATAGCTAAACAAAGACAAACAGAGGTTTCTCAACCCCCTCCAGTGGCCCCTACACCTGTACTTTCGGAAACCAAAATCAAGCCTGAGGAGGCGCAGGAAGTTGAATCTGATCCACAGTCAGAGATTTCATATGAGGAAGCCATTGGTGCTTACCAACATGTAGGGGAGAGTCTTATTGCAAGGGAACTTCGTGAGATCAGAGAGCGTGAGGAAGAATTGCAGAAGATGAGAGAGACTTTGTCAAAACCAAAACCTGTTAAAGAATCACCTAAACCTGTTAAAGAATCACCTATCTCCAGTTCAAAGCAGTCTGTTCAGAAAAGTACACCTCAAAAATCACAGCCTACTAAGACAAACTATTTGTCCCCAAGTGTTCAAAACAAAGTCTCTAGTCAGTCCACACCAAACAAAAGCATTCATGTAACTATGACACCACCTGTAACACCGCAGAATCAAAGTGATGCTTTTCCAACAAAATCGGAAACCCCAATCGAAAAAGAGATACGATTGGCCAGGGAGAGAGAAAATGAACTAAGACGGCAGAAAGGTCTGCCAGAGATTGCTGCTCCAGAACCGACAGTGAATGTCGAACCATCACCTGTTTCTAATGGAACTGATGAGGATTTCTTTACAACTGTGTCACCATACAGAAACCTAAGGTCATCTGAAAAATCAGCAGCCATGAGGAATTATGGGTCATCCAGATTACAACGAGAACTTGAGAAACAGCGTATCAAAGAGATGGCAATGAAACAGGAAGGAACCATCAAGTCAACTTCTGAGGATCATATACAAACTCTTAAATACACTGAGGAAAAATCGGATAAACCAGTTAAACGTAACTTTAATATTCAGCGAAGAAGTATCAGTAATATGTCTAATGATTCAGAAAAAACACCTTCTGAACATTCAGATACTGATTCTCTTAAAGACCTTCCAATCACCCCAGTAGCCTTGCCTAAGGAGGAAGTGCCCAATAGATTCAAACGCAGTATTTCAGCGGGCTCAAATTTGTTCTCATATAAAGAAACCACACAGAAGGCCGAATCGAAAATTGAAAAGGAACTCCGTGAAATGAGAGAGCGAGAAGAAGAACTAAGGTAAGTTCTCTTTTTTAGATACGGCTTAATATTTGATACCTCTTCATAAGAAATATTCTAATCATACCTGTCTACAATGATGTTAAAAAAAAACTGTCTATAAAATCTGATGTAAAGTCAAAAATATCTGTCTATGAAATGATAATGGAGAAATACCTGTCTAAAATCTGATGTTACAAAATATACCCTTTTATAAAATGAAGTTTAAAAAGTATTTATGTGGTGTCTGCAAATTCTTCTAGAGTGAAATTTGTAGTGCTTCCTATTGCATAAGGCATTGTATAATGGTCGTAAAGAAAAGTGGTCTTTATACACAGGTGGTCTTTATATACCTTATCACTGTTTTATATTGGGATGTGAAACCAGTGGACTTTATACACAGGTAGTCTTTATATACCTAATCACTGTTTTATATTGGGATGTGAAACCAAAGGCCTTTATACACAGGTAGTCTTTATATACCTAATCACTGTTTTATATTTGGATATGAAACCATTGGCCTTTATACACAGGTAGTCTTTATATATATTATTACTGATTAATACTGGCCTTCAGGTTTGACTGTGTATTGACTATTGGTTGTAATTCACAAATTCACACATTCGAGACTAAATTTTGTTCTATGTTATCAGTCTTCTGATTGTGCCCTTCTGACACTGCAGACTTTGTCAGGATGGAAAAGGTTAATTATGATCATGAAGACGGTCCATTATAGAACTGTTTAGCTACATCATGTAGGATTTTTCCTTAAGTCCATCATATAACTACATAGGATTGATCCTAAAGCTGAATACACTTGGTATATATCTGGACTTAAAGGTGTGACCATACTAACACTTAACTGCGTGTTACATCTATAATGCTTATGTATTGATTTTGGGCAATGTTGAATCATGTGTGCTTATGCATCGACAACTGTTTTTTACCTACTTACACAGAGACAACTGGTTTTTACTTACTTACACAGAGACAACTGGTTTTTACCTACTTACACAGAGACAATTGGTTTTTACCTACTTACACTTTTTTACACTGACCAACACTACTGGGGTTTTTTTATCTTTATTACATAAAGACAACTGTTTTTATCTACAAACATCAGCTACGTAGTGTTTATCATATATGTTTGCAAGTCTGTTCATTGTGATCAATTTAGGGAAAAAAAATATGAGCAATTCTAACCTACTAGCATGACTCATATCTCCTAATTTTTATCTTAAACAGATTGCAGAGAGAAAAGATTGCTGCAGACAAAAAAGCAAACACTCCAAGTTGAATGGTGACACCATGGAACTCTCATCCTGGGAAGTGACATTTTCTCTTCAAAAGGCCTCGGTGTTCATGATATATGCAATTTACATTGTTAAATTTATCAAGTTTGAGGATTTTCTTTGATGACAGAGAAAAAAATATAGCTTAAGCAAAAGTTCAATGCTGAGCATATATACAAAGCCTGGTGCTTGCCCTTCTACATTTGATAAACTGGCCGGAAGGTTGCTGAGTATTTGGGAGAAACCTATGGAGTATGTTGATTTCCTCAGTCAACCTCTCACATTCCTAAATAAGGACATTAGTCGGAAATTATTTTCAGTATATTTTCAATCATCGCAAAGAAATTTCCTTCGTGCAATGATTATGAATTTTTCTGTACATTTTTTACATGCATTTGAACAAATTATTACTTTTTCACTCATTTTAATAGCATGATGCATCATCTACATACTGTAATCTGCCAAAGGTGAAGGTGTGTCGCCTTCATAGATAGTTTTTTGAAACTTTTGAAAATTGTTAAAACCCTTTTTGTAGTCTTGATATATAAATGTAAATGAAATTCATGTAATTTTTTTTTGTGTGTTCAGTCCTCAAATATCAAACTGAGTTAAAAATCCAGGAAGTGAAATTACCTCCCCTGAAGAAATAAAACAAGTAAGATTTGTTACCTACCCTTAAGGAATAAAACATGTGATTTATCACCTCCTTGTGTAAATGCACAAGATTTCTTTTTGCTAATCCAAACCCCTAGTGCCCTAGTATTGAGGAACTTTTTTGCATTTATGTTTTGTAAAAAGAAGCCAAGAAAATGGGAGTCTTCCATGATATGCATATGTAGTCTTCACAGTTTTTCTATGCAGCCATGGTCTGTCACTATTGCAAAAACTTGTTAATAGATAATGACACTAAAAAGGAAATAGAACAAATCACCAGCATACGATGGAAGGTTAAGTATTTAATTTTTCTAGATTGTATAAGAAGTATAGCTTCTTCCTTCACTTCAATATTCACTATTTGATAAATAAATAGCAATTTAAACATACTGAATGTTCACATCATGCTGTGATAGACAAAAATACTTAGCAAATGACTACTTGTAGTGAATTATAATTTTATATATCAAACATTTAACATTAACCCCCATTAAGATTCAAATATTGACCTCAATTTTCCCAAACAGAGTGTATATATATATAAATTAGTGTTGTTACACCTTAAAGTTAATAACATTATTATCTTTCCTTTCATTATTTATTGTATATTATGTCATACTGTTGAAATTAAGACAGTGATAACCAAATCACCTGGAGAGAGCCAACAGGCTTGTAAATAGTAGCATAAAAAAAATTGTTTTGTTGATATTTCCTGTTTACGATATAGGATAGCTGTCAGACTGGACTTTTCAATGTTAATTTTACTATACAACAAGTTTGCAAAAAACAATGATAAAAAAAAAAACAAAAGCCAATCCATTCAAATTAATCTCCAAATTTTGATGTCATCTTAAATGTTATATTCAAGTTAATTTCCTGATGATTGTTTTCTTGTTTAAATAACATGTATTCCCAGTATATGTACCTGCTGTACTATAGGGCCTGGTTTTATGTATCAGTATACCTGGATTACATAAAGGATGGAAGAGACCAGATCTGACCCAGCTAATATTATAATACTGTTATCAGATACTATATTTTTCTGTTCATACTTAAAACATTACTTTGAGAACCAGAATGAGAAAAGAAAGAATATCTTTTTTTCCAATCCTGTGAATTGTTGAAATTTTAAAATACTTTTCGGTCACTGTTGGCTTGCTTATTGCTACATGCAGTACATCTGTACACAATCATATCAAAGGCTTCAAAATTGATCCTTTTGTCATAATTAATTTAAGATATGATGTCATCTTTGCCACAACTTTATTTTTGTAAGTGCCTTTTTTGCATTTCATTGATATTTTTTCTTGGTTAAGGGGAGATAACACCTGTATTAATACAGTAAATGATTAAGACTATTAGTTAGTATACAAAAGGAGATAATTATGTGGCATTTATTGGGTTTATTTCACCTATATTATGACAAGTTCTCAAAATGAAACAGTCGATATGATGTGAATGTCAGCCATCACTGTGGTCGTTTATTGATATATTTTTGTGTATATATAACGACATGATAAAATACATAAGTGAAAATTATACATCAGTATAGAATTGTACACTTGTACACATGTCTCAGATGTATGTACCTGGTAGATTGTATCACATATCAGTTCAATGTGTAACATATGAATTAGAACAAATGTTTGTGAATGCTTGAGTGATATTATATTCCAGACCTATTCGACATCACGACTGATCATCCTCAGAGTCTCGAGTGTTTGACACAATATATAGGGGACACTTTACAGATATCCCTCTGTGTAATGTGTCTCACTACTGTGTGCAGAATATTAATTTGTGATAGTGTATACTTTTATCAAGAGTGTGAAACATATCAATTTACATATAGATACTTATATTAACATGTCCAATTTAGTCATATACTATTTGTGTACAGGTATATTATAATAATATATACATTATCATCCAGTTCTTTCAAAATTTGTCAAGTCAGTTTTAATGATCCCATTAAAAATTGATATTGATTTGGACCAAGAATTAACATGACAAATCAGTGTTATCTGTGGAGTTTAAAGTGACTGGGTTTTATTGTATGTATCACATGTACATATCTACCGGTATATAGATACAAAATGTTATGTACAATGTATATTTTGTTGATCACATAATATTGAATCTTTATATTACATGACTATATTACATATATACATTTATATATATCAGAATAAAAGCCATCAAAATTGAATGTCTTAGTTTCTCTTTGTGCTTTTTTGCTAGAGATAATTGTGTAACTTGTACATCATAAGCCAAGTTATGTAATTCAGACAGCTTCTAACATTTTCTATAGAATTTTGTGATACTTGTGTGACTTTAATCTGCATCACTTCAGTACCAAAGCCATATAGTCAGATATAAAATACAATATCCATCCATATCTCTTACATTTTAATTGAAACCAGACACCTATACTGAGAAATTAGCATAAAACTATGCAAATTTTTTTAAACATTTTTCAATACAGAATGGACACCTGAACAATTTATCTCCATACTTCATATCCTGTAAGTTAAATGTATATAAAGTTTATCAGATTGTTAGGATATGTTCTTCCTGTTCACAAAGCATAACCAGAGACACTTCCCTGACTTAAGTGTGTGTTGTAGCCTATCAAATTCACCAAATAAGTAGGGCAAGGTCATATGATGTATCCTTACATACTGATCAAGGTCTTCACGAAACGTCTAGTGTTTCCTTACCTCCAGATCATGATCTTACAAAAGGTTAAATGTTTTTACAAGATAATATGATGCATCCTTATCTCCAGATCAAGGTCATCACTAGGTCATATGATGTATATTAAAATCCAGATCAATGTCATCATAAGATTACCTAGAGATCAAGTCCCATGTAAGGTCAAGGGCTGAACATCCAGATCAAAGTTAATGTTATCAAGATCAAGGTTAAATCATGCATATCCTTTACATCCAGATCATGGTCTTTAAAAGGTCATTTTGTTAATCCTTACCTCCAGGTAAAAGTCTTTACAAGAGAGCAATGGTAAATTTCAGATTAATGTAGCAACTTCTTATTATGAACCTTTGTAGATAATTAACAAATAGGAATAAAAACTACATTCATAATTTTCTCAGGTCAAAATAAAAGATTTAAGGTCAAATCACTTGTTTGCTCATCACAAATACCACGAAATGCAAAAAAAGAAAATTATTTCATATATAGGAACAATGAATTTAATGTCCAGAGTGTATCTCAACTCGTGTCAAACGTATATAAAAATAATGGAAATTTGGCACATGGCAGAACTTCAAAAAATGCCAAGTATGTTGTAACCATCAAGGTCAGTAGTTCTGTTACTGTGAAGTTGTGGTAACCTTGGACACATGATTAAAGAAAAATTCTAATTGATGCTTACGAAAATCTGATTCAAATGTACAGTGCAATTTGCTTCCATTACTACACAGCATTTCTGTCACATTAGTCAGGTCTGAAAGGACCGATTAAATCTCTATACTTTATGGAATTCTCAGTGACGATGAAATAAGAAATGGCCTTACAGGTCACTTATTCACTGTTCATAACAAACCTGACAGATGTAGGGTAGACAATTACATAATTATTTTAAGACCAGATCCACGCACATATAAATCAAGCTAGGGAAAAACAAAGGACAACTGAATAAGGTTTAATAACATTTAATGTCATAAATTATATTTCTAACCTACATAAACCATGTAGAATATTTCAAAAACAAATTCATGACTGAAAAAGGAGTAGAAATGTAAATGAAGGTGGGTCAACCAACATCAGTTTCTTAGTACAGATCAGCCTACTAAAAATATTGGTCAATTCAATTTAATAAAATATTTAACAAAATTCATATGACGAACTGTTTTTCATCATAGTTTGTTCAAACAAATGGTTTTCTTTCATAAGATAAGCAGTATCATAATCAATCTTTAAAACAGATATAGGGAGATAACTCCTCTAACACTACATGCATGTTTAACCTACTAAAAATTATAATTATATAATAATTAACTCGAACCAGATTTCTCATGCTGAGGAAATTATTTACAACTTATTTCCTTTTGCTCAAATCTTGAAAGATATTCCTATGTAACATCATATCTGGGAGATAACATGCAGTGAACCTGCAAAATTCTTATAAATATTTATCATTATGACACTGTCATGATAAGATAAATGTATGTTAATTTTTCAGTGCTGGTAAAATTTGGATTAAAAACTGACAGGAATGATAAATTATCACTGTCATTACCTGTGTGATTTCATTGACATGTATCTGTTATTCATAACAGGTATCGGTATATATAGGTCATATAATGAGGTATGGCTAGTCTTTTAGCAAAGGTAAACAGAACATTAAAGTACACTGTATAAAACATGTATTGTGGCAGTGTCCATAGTACCACTAAGAGTCGAATCTACATAACAACAGCTTAAAACAAACAAATGTTCTGCCTTTTTTTTTTTACCAGAATATTTCACTTGGAAGTTTGGAGTTAAAAAATTGAAACAATGTAAAATTCTCCTAAAAAATAAACTAGTTTGTATAAATTTTCATACACTGTTGAATCTCCCAACACAGTTAACAATAATAATGATATTACCGTTATACAGGCCATTCTTCTAAGCAGCGCATCAGTTTTACAACAAATGTACGATACATATGTATATTATGTTTGTAAATAAACTCAAAATATCAAAAAGAACATACTTGGTATCTAGAGCACTTTTTGTGTATTGCATATAATCATGGTTTTTTAAAATTCTTAATTTACAACAAGTTTGAAGTTATAAAGGCAAACATATCACATGAATACTTTCATTTTTGTGATGTAAATATTTTTCTTCTTTAGACACATCTAAAATAAGTTTTTAAAATCAGATTTTCAGAATCATGGTAAATAAAATAGTCCGTTTAACTTTTGACATAAAAACTTGTTACAACATTAAAAGACATATCCTTTTCACTGACAACTGTACACACTGTTAAAATTGTTTCAAACATAGAATGTTTTTCAAAATAAAAAATCATCTTGATGAATGCTAACAAACGTAAGGAATTCTAAATGTGTGATTTTTAAGTACATTTGTTTGCCCAACTATGCAATTTATTTCAATAACCAATTTTATACAGAACATACCAACAGAAGGTATATCAAACTGCACAGATTAAAACTTAAACCTCAACAACACTTTGTATTCATTCTCTAATAATAACATAAAACCCAGCCCCAGGTGTGGAGAACTTCAATTTATACAGAGTTGCAAGTATAGTCAGCATTAAGTTGTCATGACAATTTTCCTTTCTGTAGGTAACTGCTGAGGAGCACAGAGGGAGGTGAGAATGTAGACATTTTGTTCTCCACATGAGTCTGTCGAGTGCTGCCATCACCAAAACCTATTGAATAATATTTATACTTTAAAATCATAAGTTACTATGGTAACCAAATTTTAAAACGTATAACAGAAACCTTATGTTTCATACAACAGGCCTTACTTTTATAAAATATCATGTCTCCTTGCTTATAATATCAACAATGATATTTTTTATAATGTAGAGAATATATAGATTATGATTTGTCATGGAGTTATGAGACATACTGTACAAGAGCAGTAGCTACTGATGGATCCAGAAATATACGCCTTTATTATTCTAAGGGGTACAAAAACCCTTCTTTTTCTGTATTCTGTCTCATTAGAAACATCACTTACTTGTCGAGTAGAGATTGAGGTATTGACATGTGGCATGGAGAAGCATTCTTTCAAAACTTGATATAGGCTTGGATACATAAACCGACCCTGGCCAATCCTTGAAGAATGATATCAAATCCTGTTCTAAACTGTCAAGTATTCCCTAAAACAGAAAAGAAATCTCAGTGACACATCTTAGCATGTCAATAACAGGCTCTTTCTCTGTAATAGCATACCAGGTATGTAAGCAGAAATTTATCTTGGTCATTTAATTTTATTTTACTCAAGACACCAATAGAAACTGTCATTTTAATAACATCTCAAACATGATTAAGACATACCATAAGCTCATCAAAAATTTTTCCCTGTTCACACCATAACGTTTAAATTGGTTGTCTCCCCTTTGTCATTATGACCCAACTGACATCAAAAAGCAGACATTGCTTTCCAGCATACAATATCAGCCTTATATGTCCATTCCTATGCAATTCTAAATTACTGAAGTGAAACAACCCTTGGACATAACACATGATTTCTAACATTCTAGACAATAAGATAAGTGATAGTGATAGATATCTTAACTGCTCAACCGCCACAGCCCCCAACCCTTAGTAGGTAGTGGTGCTTATTCCATCTTTAGATCTTTTTAAAGTTCAGCATATAGAAACATGTCTTGTGGAAACACACCTTGTATTTCCTTCAATATAGAACAGGATGAATACTTACCACAGGAACACTATGTCGTTTGAAATTTTGTCTGATGTTCCTGTCAAGTCTCTGATAACACTCCTCTGCAGTATAGGCTGGATGAACTGAAAATAGGAGGGTTTCTTTATCAACAAACAACTTAAACATATTGATGATCATGAATTGTCAGCTCATAACTTTCCAAAGCAGGATATCAAACTAATACTATATGGTTTACCTGTAAATGTAGTTAACATCTTTGAGTATGCTTTTTCAATATCACACTATATACTTATAAACTACCCACGTGGTACAGTGCTCTTGAACCTGTGAAACATTCAGTACCAAATGACTGAGCCAAGCTGGAGAAGATAACTGTGATTATCTAGCAAGAGAGTAATACAAATATTGTGCTCACATTTATATCCTAAAGTACTAGTTATAAGTCCTGTAAACAACATTTTGAAATAAAACTTAGTAATACTCATGAACATTGATATAACATCGATATCACTGGGCTATGTGGAGAAAAGATGAAGGCCACTTCAACATCACTGAAGCCTAAGTTTACACGAGTCACGAACAGCACCGTAAGAGCATATACCGTAAATATGAATAAAATAAAACTTGCAGTTGTATGTAAATGTATATCCAGTAAATCTATTTAATCCAAAATTAATGTGTCACTGACAAACTAGTACTGCATCAGCGCGGTAGTTATCATTATGTTTTTTTATTTGGTTTCAGGCTGTCACAGATCAAATACTTTACATGTAAGTCCTCTTATGATGGAAAACTGTATCAAATGGCAGCAGCAATCAATTTCTATGAATTTTATTTCAACATTTCATTATAAAACCAAAAACAGCAAAGAAAGCAGCACATCTAGCTTTCTAATTCAACATACCTGTCTTGTAGACCATTACTGAAGATTTTTTTGGTTGTGGAGGATTTCAGCCCAGACATTGGGATTTGATCTAGACAACTTTTCAATGTTTTGAAATCAAAGCATTTCCTGACCATGATTCTATCTCTTTTCAAATTTGTTTTTCAGATATTTAAATCAGGTCGTAAGAGGTTGTCTTGGAATGAGACCAACTTTTCAAGAGGACCTAACCCTGAACCACCATCAATTATTGGTACATCATAGCGACATTAAAGCAGGGGAGACAACCCTGAGCCACCACAACATACCAGCCCTGTTGTCTGGTATTTCCTCCCAACTATCACTACTATCATTGAGGTCTTCCTGGTCATTTCCATTTTCAATGTGCCTGTTGTTGTCATTCATTCTTTTTCCTTCCCTTCCCTGCTGAAGAATTCGACCTTGCTCTTCCTCTGAGCTGTTCATGAAATCTTTCCATGCCTGAAGTGAAAAGAATTTTTTCTTGAAAATAAACAGTAACATATCTTTTTATCTGGTTCTCTCAAAACAATTCTTTCTTCTAAGATGATGTCTTGTTTCGCAAAATGACAATCCAAAATCAATAATAAATTAGAATGAGTTTTTTTCAGGTAAAACCAATTTTCATGATGTAATACTTATCGTAACTTCAATATGCAAATTTCATACCTGCACCCATCTTTGCAGCCTAAATATAAAAGATTAAAAAATCCTGCCCTCCCTACAGACTGATGAGCAATAAATCATAAATAAAGGGCAGATGGGCCTAAACAATGCCAACTCAACAAAAACAAACCTCAAACAATCTGAGTGGCTGAAAAGCAAGAAAAATGAGAAAACTCATCTGAACATGTCAGCCATCAGAGAGCATCATAAAGGAAAGAGGAAGGGAGATCACTCTATGTCTCTGTCATAAAGGCTCATGGGACTGTATGGAGGGCAGGATTTTTTAATCTTTTCTTTTGGCTAAAAAGATGTGTGCAGGTACTGTATGTTCATACCAAAGTTATGGTAATTATTCCTGAAATGACATTGGTATTTTAGAATAACATTCTGAACCAATATAATCAAGGATTGAAAAAATTTAATACAAATAATAACCTTCATTTTCTCATGCTCCATAAAGAGTTCAGCAAACACTGACATGCTGGGTTCACCCACTTCCATGCTTAGTTCAATGTCATCTTCCTTCTCCACCAAAGTCAACAGATGCTTCACTGAAATTTCAGTTAAATGGAATGTGACTCTTTTTGGTTTGTTTTACATTGTCATAGAGGCAATATAAGGATGACTGATTAGATTTTTTTTAAATAATGATAAAAATAGCCTGATGTAAAATTTGCATTTTTTTTTCATCTTCATATATCATCAATCTGTAATTATATGCATACCTGTCCAGGAATTCAAGTATATTGATAATGTTTCATTATTTTTCACGTCATATATACATTTACACCAAATATGTGTACTTTTTATTTTTACATATGGTTTTATCATGGTACTCACTGTTTTCACACCTCCTGGACTTCTTGACCCCTGTCTTTTTTCTGGATCCGGGATGACCATTGTCAAGTTGCAGGTTACTTGGCAGTAATTTGTTCTTATTAAATGGTTTCCGTTGACGCTTAGAGTCCTTTGCCAGCACTTCTTCTCTAACATCATTGTCTAATCTCCTTTAAATATGGAAATTAATACATATATCACAGTACAATTACACACTGAATGATCTTATGGTGGTATATTCTTGTCAACATGAATGTAATATGGGTGAAAATACTGACAATGAATAATAAATATAATCTTCCTTCTTCATCACTTTTCTTTCTTAGTCTCCAATTTGCTTCCCCCTTAACTTTTTCCTATTTATAATGTTCTAAGTTCACAGAGACTATGCGCATGTCCATATGCTAACCAACCAGGTGGTCAGGAGTCACAGTAGTAACACACTCCACCAGGATTTGATTTTCTGATCAAAGGTATAAAAGTATGGGGTCATCTGCCTGTTTACATCAGATTTACCAGTTCTGTACTCCATTTTCCTAACAAAGTAATTATGACCCCTCCCATACTTCATTCTTGGGTGATTTATAGGAGCTATTAGCTTGTTTCTGCTTTGTTGTCAAAAATAATCACAGTTTATATAATGTAAATGCTGGTAAACTGTGAGTGATGAACTTTACCAATCAATTTACACTTTATTTTGCTCAGCTCTAACATCATTTACCAAAGAGGAAGAACAATTCTAATTAAATATGACTTTTTGCATGACAGTGTCATTGGAGTGAAAGTTTATACATGAAATATATCACATAGTCTATTACAAACTTTTAATAACACTTGTCTTGAACAGCTATTTTACATTATGTATGCAGTGACCAATCTAGATCTACAGTTTATTTTCATGGGTCCATTTTAATTTCAATGCTAAAAACACATGCAACAATGAAGAGCCCAATTAAGCATTTCCAGAAATTATGGGTCCAATCAAAATTCTATGAGCACAGGACTCAGGATTCACATGTAGATGCAATTTTTATTATATTGAAGACTACCTATCCTGCTTTCACACCTGTTGCTGCAGTCAAATTTCAGAAATCAAAATAGTTCATCACATGTAATATACAAATTGCTTTCATTTAATCCATACTTTCCTTTACTCTCTAGCTGAGTTCCATGTACAATTTATTATGCAAGCATCATTTGCAATGAATCAACATGCACACGAAACTTTGTCATAAATAAAAATATTAAAACTAAATACTGGGTGCTACTAGCCTTAGGTCTTTTTTTTTTCAAAAGAATATTACTTTTAAGACTGACAGGCATAAATATCAATGTCTGGGCATATGGAGCCTGAAGCAACACTCGGGTCTCTCTGAAACCCAAGTTGACCTCCAGTAGCTATATTCTCCTTAAGATATTTAAATATTCACTCTGAAAATTTAACGAATCAACGGATATTGTTACATATTATGTTCATATGTATGCCTTTCTTTTCTGATATGTTTCTTTCAAACATCAATATGACTTATCCGAATAGCTAATGTTCATTTTATAATTAATATTACAAAATTTTACTAATTAAATCAGGATGTTATCCTTGCAACATAAGTCAATACAAATCCAAATTGATTTTTTACTCAACTAGGAGAGTAGATTGTCCATGAGTGCTGAATGTTGGTGTAATAGTGTATTTAACATGATCCGAACTTCTAAACTTGCCCCAGGACTGCTGCCGACAGATTTATCCTTAACTGGCATTTGATCATGAGTGATCTTATAATAGATCACGTGTCAGTAATGTTGTCGAGTATAAAGTCTAAAGAACTATCGTTTACCGTTTACAAATGATAATTCAACATCATATCTTCAAATCGACTAACAATTGCACATCCCTATATAACGTACTTTTCGTAATAGTAAGTTTTTTTTTCCAATAACAACACGACATGATACATTTTATCTTCTGGATTGCTCTGTGCCTCTGGTTGCCATAGTTCTGTTAATCAAGCTACTATACAGACGTGCTCAGTCTCGTCATTAGTCAAACTATATATCAAAGAGGATAGAAGCACACATTACTGAGTTTTAAAAAGTCAATGTTTCATTAGATATCAACAAGCTCCGAGGTTTGGAGCTAATAATAACTATTCGATAGATTCTCAAGCAGACCGCCTAAATTGACCTTGTGAAAATCACTTTACAACTTACTCTAAGTCGTCGCCAGAACTTTCATAAGAAAATATATTCGTTTCGTCACGCAGCACACCCATGTTGGGAAGATACCAAAGTTTCGATCGAGCACTGACCGTAAAAATATATGCCAAGCTGCAACCCTTACGGAACTTGTAGCGTTTGGAAATGTCAACCTAGTGAAAACGAGGCTGCCACAACATTGCAGTGGGGTGACGAAATAGGGGGTTGGTACAATTCTTGATATAAGATTTAAGCGGAACGAAACCGAAGTTCCTCGGATAAGTTGTTCGCTGAAAATATAATTTTTGAGTGGCACTAATGTCGACATTATTGCCCGTTTTAACAACCGAATCTAATTCATTTTGTCCAGTATCAATAAAATATATTATATTATACTGTATAAAATATTAATTTACTTTGGTAACATTTTCACATTTTGTTTAAATGCGTCGTCTCTCGTCCGTCCGTAAAAAGATACAAGAAATTTTATTATAATACAATAAAACATGTAACATTAGCTCAGAATACCTATTTTACGACAAAAGATAAAAAAAAAACACGGTCGAAAAGAAATTACTCTGATTCGAATTCAAGGTCACAGACAGGAGTCAAATGTACGTGTTAAAACAATCGAATGACTTCACTTTCTATTAACTGGAAGTCTGGAAATCGCAAAAAGTTTGTGACAAAGACTTTGACCCTTATTTCGGATAACGGGGTTAAATCTGTTTTAAACAAAACTCAAACGACTTCTTTCAATAACCGAAGGACCATGAATCACGATTATTGGTTAATAGATGTATGGCATGAAGCAGGGTAAGAAAAGAAATTAGGCCTACCTTGACCTTTATTCAATGTTCATGTAACATCTCACTAAATGAAAGGTCTAGAATGAGAATATTTTGTCGATAGAATCTTGGAATCAAACTGACAAATATTGCTGTAAGCAATGCCCTTGTCACATATTCGGGTTACAATTTAAGTGTCTACTTCATTGAGATACACTTAATATCTTCACCTGCCCATAAATTGTACCGACTGAGTTGGTCCTCAACTCGATCCATCAGTTATAGAAAAGTATACTGGATATATACTAGAGAAGTCTCACACTATCATATGTTCTTCTTTTCACACCTGAAATAGATAGCTTTATCGAGGAGTTCTTAACAATTAATGGGGATGTTGTTTTTTATTTTGTAGTCAAATAACTATTTACTTACGATGCTGAATAAGAAAAGTCTAGTTATATCAAAAGTATAATAAGAACACGCTTAAAAGATTAAGTGACATACCCCGTATCGACCAAAATAACAGGGATTTTTCCGTGAGTTCGCAATTTCTTATCACGTGTTAGTTTCTAACATGTAACCAACTTTACAGAAACTTCAGACAATGTTACAATGAATAAAATATTTTTGCATATACACGATGAAAATAAAACTGCATGTGTCCACCAAATGATGAGAAACATAACTTTTAAAATACAATATGTAACACAAACATATACATATGTTTTCCCCTGTAAAGCCTTTTTTTAAACTTTGTCCGTGATAACTAATTTCCAGTCCATTTGGAACATCACTGTTCGGCTTAAAAAGGGGAGGAAAACAATAGGTGGGTTTCTTTACATGTATATAGACATAGTAAAATCTCTAGTCATGTGGCGTGGTGGAAATCTTAAACAAAATTTAAAAATCAGTTAATAAGAACTTTTCCTGTATGTAACATACAGCAATATAATCCGAATCATTTGTTTAAGAACGATGGAGGTTACAGTAATTAATCTTCTGCCAATTCATAACACAAACATCAGGAATATACTGAATTTCAATCACTTGATAGTGATTTCATTAAAGATATAGCATTTGTTCGATTTTTACTGAAATTTTTATTTTCTGTTAAACACTTGGGTTATTTTCAAACCGTAGAGGACAGTAAATATGATATTGTAACGCCACTTTTTCACGGTTGTGTGAGTGTTACTTTTAAAATCACTTCGTACTGCAAATTTGTGTCAAGTTCTTTATCAAATATTGGTAAATTTTTAAATCAATAGGCACACAAGATCATACTTTAGAACAAATGATTCCAAATAATGGAACAGTATAATTGTAGTTTATTGTAATATACTTATGTTAAAGACCGACCAGAAGAAATAGATGAAAACCACATGTGATGCAAATAATGAAATATTCCACGATAGCCAGGTCACTATACACAGGTTTTTTGTGCAATGGACTTAGCTCAATAGTCCTTAGATCATCTTTTTTTTATGAAATACGGTAAAATAATGTAAGTTATAAAAGCCTAGATTTTACGTAAAGAAGGCTTATGGTTCGTCGAAATTGAAATGTAGTCTGATTATGCTAAAATTGATACTTTAGGGTTTTGGAAAAATGGTAAGTATAAGATATTTCTAGAAACGTTACTATGGAGATATATTGGCGATATATTCTGGACCATATGTAGTTTTCTTTTTTCCTATTGATTGTTGGGTGTTTTTTTTTTTTTTTTTTTTAACCAATTTCATTCAACGCCTTTAATTTGACAAATCAGATGGTTTAAGAATTGTAATTATGGATATGAAAATACGTTATTATTTTCCGGCAAAATGTTGGTTCTCCATTCCTTGCCATGGTAACAAAAAGAAGACCTATGTTTGGACAAAATCTTTTCCAAACTGCTATTCATAGCCTTGAAAGTTATTAACCGAATCATGACAATAGAACTGCACGCGAATGATAAGGACCATGTGCATGCAACTTTTATACCCCCGTATCGTGTAATTTATATATATATATATATAATAATGGCATGTAGAAACTCAAGATGACCATTCTGTTTCGTTATGTTCCACGTAAGGTCGTTTTCTTGTGAAACCTGCTGCTCTCGTGGCAGTTGACTGTGCGATTATTTTCGAATAAAAAGGATTGTTATGACAATCGATAGTGGTCCGTGCGGGATAGTATTCTAGTAAATTAAGCTGTTGTGTCCATTGGTCAAAGTGTTCCGTGTCGGATAATTTGTGTTCTATATCGGATAGTTTTCTAATAGTGTTCCATGTCGGATAGTTTTCTAATAGTGTTCTATGTCGGATAGTTTTCTAATAGTGTTCTATGTCGGATAGTTTTCTAATAGTGTTCTATGTCGGATAGTTTCTAATAGTGTTCTATGTCGGATAGTTTTCTAATAGTGTTCTATGTCGGATAGTTTTCTAATAGTGTTCTATGTCGGATAGTTTTCTAATAGTGTTCTATGTCGGATAGTTTCTAATAGTGTTCTATGTCGGATAGTTTTCTAATAGTGTTCTATGTCGGATAGTTTTCTAATAGTGTTCTATGTCGGATAGTTTTCTAATAGTGTTCCATGTTTTATAGTTTTCTGATAGTGTTCTATGTCGGATAGTTTTCTAATAGTGTTCCATGTCGGATAGTTTTCTAATAGTGTTCTATGTCGGATAGTTTTCTAATAGTGTTCCATGTTTTATAGTTTTCTGATAGTGTTCTATGTCGGATAGTTTCTAATAGTGTTCCATGTCGGATAGTTTCTAATAGTGTTCCATGTCGGATAGTTTCTAATAGTGTGCTATGTCGGATAGTTTCTAATAGTGATCTATGTTGAATAGTTTCTAATAGGGCTATGTTGGCTAGTTTTCTAGTAAAACAGGCTGATGTGACGACAGATCCAGTTCTGTGTGAGGTATAACAGGTTGTCGTTGCTGAGAGTTGTGTTCCCAGGCTGGGATAGTTTTGTAGCAAAATAGACTTAAATGTGACGATCTCAGCGGCCAGTTGTTCAAGTCCGATAACTCTGGAGATATTTTTGATAACCTGTCAAATCGACGAGATAACTAGACATATATTACCCTGTCGTCTAAGACAGCTTTCGGAGTCCACATTTATGAAGAAGCTGACAAAATAATAGATATACTTAAAATACTGAAAATCGATAGAAATAATCGTTATTACATGTATTCGTCCGATTGTAGAAAATGCAACTAACGGACCGTGAGTATATTATGGGCAAATTGTAACAAACAACAGAGTAAGATCCTACAGTCGATCAAACTTGAAAAAATATCCATAACTACCGGCATGAGACGGGAAGCAAGTCAGCATATCTTATACAGAAAACTTGTCGGCACCTTCATCGAAATATTTCATTTCATTAATTTTTTTAAATAGGTATTCCGTTCATTTTTTTTTTATTCCATTCAACCTCATATCAATAATAATGGATTAATTCTCCTCTTCAGAAAAGACATCTTGATGCTCCACAAACAAGAACTGGTATATATATTACCGGTTCCTTCCCAAAAAAATTGTCGGAAAGGAGTCACACACCTTGTCTGTTTCCCACAATGTCGTCCATTAGTGAAATAAACAGGGATGTTTTATTTCAACCCTTTGTGGATGCTTGACACCAGTGCACTTTTAATTTCAAAGTTAACGGATACAGGATAATATGATATAAATTTATATCAGTTAAGCAATTAAGTTGATAATTTTAATGAGGACATATTTAATTCCCACTTAATAAATAGCTGTGTTCTTGATAAATAGCCCTGCTTAGTTCCGGTCATCCGGTTGTAAATTGCTCTCACTTTTTTCTCTGTTGTCCTCTTTTCATCGACTTACGACAGCTGTTTTTGACTCGAGTAATCATATTCCTCTGAAAATTCAAACATTTCTTGGTAATTGCCGTGAATTAAATAAATTGATGAATAAATCCATTCCTGAGTTGATTGAGAGATTCTTTATAGATACCGGGCGTCTCTTGTAAGTAAACGTGTCTAATTCATAATTATTGTCTGATTGATATCTGTATGGATTAATTACAGGAGGACGTATAGTCAATTCATGGTTGATGCAATTCATTCAAGGAGACTTTCGGACTGATACTTGTCGTAACCATTAAGTGATATTACCACTACAATTAGTAGTATTTATTTGGTGACTTATAACTATAACCAAGATAATTCTGTATTGTTCCGACAATACCTCTCATCTTATTTATTCATTATCTGACTGATGTGTAGAAAATAATTTTTAAAAACCCAACTCAGTAATGGGCGTTTCTTTTAATTTTCTCCAAAAACTGATATTAATTTATCAGATTTTTTATTCGTCGTTACTTGATTAAGCGACTCGCAAGTAATATAACATAACAAAAAATTCTAATT